TGCTGACTCTGTAAAACCGCTTAGAGAGGGCTGAAAGCCCTATGAAGCGGTATATAAGTCTAACTGCTATTGCTATTGCTACTGGTTGAATCCCACCACTGACAAACACAGACCCTTAGTCACAATCCTTCCATTACCCCCACCATCCTGCCAGAACCAATGAAGCTTTTTGGATGAGAAGTGAAACATTTTCTTCTTCTTCTTCCTTAAGGGGGGAACCAGTTCGGTTTCCTTTTGAAAAAAAAAAAAAGCACATTTGAGACAACAAGGACCTGGATAACTGAGAATCTCCCCCAGACAGTTCTGGATAAGTTCATTTCTAATGTGGGGCTTTTTCAAATGAATGGAGGTGGTAGAGCTTCTGCTTTGCCTGTGTTTGTAGTGGTAAGAGCAGCCCTATTCCCCTGATGCCGATTCTTCAGAGGAAGGCAGACGAGGAGAAAAACCTGGTGCATAAATGACTGGCTGAATCTCGGTGGCATTTTATTCTCATTTGTCAGCAATGAACTTTCAGACTGAGTTCCCATTCTCATTTTCAGTGGGCGAGGACTGGCATTTCTTTCCGGTGAACGCCAGGGGGGGAATAACAGTGCAGGGTTGCTGAGAGTAGAGAGAAACACAGAAGACAAAAAAAAAGAGCACAGAATAAACACAGATAAAAATGACAAAGTCATCAAAGAGCCGTTTCCTGTTTGCAGCAAAGTGGTTTGATTTTTCTGCATTTTGTACGCTTCTGAGAGGAAAAGATGAGAATAAAATCTCTGACATACCTGTTTAACCTGAAGTGTGGGGTTAAACCGATACAACTGCAACCTTCTGTCCTGTTCTGTATGAGGTCAAGATGCCCATTGTGCCTTTTACCGGCATAATCGCCTGGATTGTTCTTACTGTCGTTCATATTATTCAGGACACCAGTTCAGCAGGTAATAATCTCTCTCTCTTTCTGCCTCTTTTTCTCTCCCACCCCCCTTTTGCTCCCTCTTTTAGATTCTTGTGTGCAAAATCTGTCAGGCAATTGTTAAAGGAAGCTCGGAGCAAACGCAGAACTATTTGAATATAAAACTTAACAATAACATTAAAAAACATTAACATTAAGCAGCTTTTTTTTAATCGCAAAATAATGTTCATAATGGTAAATCAATCTTCTCTTGTCTGTTGGATGCACCAATGTGACTCTCATTGTAATAAGTATTCTGGAAAACCACCAGTGATAGCCTTCTCCAGAAGGCTATAAGAAACAAACGTGACGGCTTTTACCGACGCTGCTGACCAAACCAGATCCACTGTAACATGATGGATGTCAGCAAATATTAGCAGATAGCCACGTTTTTACTTTTCCTGATTGCAAAACTGAACTGACCTTTCATTAATCTTTGGATATCTCCTTTACAAAGAGGAAAGTCAGGCAGAAGGTAAATCTCATGCCGAATATAAGTATTTTTTTCTTTGTGGGTCAAATCAAGGTCTATCTACTTGGCTAATCTACTTTCAACAATTGATTGGGGTGGGGTGGGGTAGGATGCAACCAACATTTGGCAAGAGAAATGAATTGTGGTAGGTCCCCAGCACTCAGTGCAGTTCAGGGAAAGGGCAGTTAGATACCCCCTACTACGTTGTCTGTTAAATCTGAATTGCCCTCCACCAAGCTGGCATTTGTCTTGCTGGAGAAAACCATCAAGCTTCCTATGGTACTGTCATCTTTTTTTCTTAAGTGGACAAACAGAAACTTTGAAGAACAATTTCAAGTAGGGAAATGACTTGGTTTCAAAAGTTGCCTAACACATCCCCATTCGGTAGTCAGTTGTAATAATAATAATAATCAATAATTAATAATAGTTCAATTGAGACCTTATCAGCACTTAGAAGTCACAATCTTCCTTGGAACATCAGTTCTTTATGAGCTACCAGCTGCAGCTCCCCTCTTTTCTCCGGGACCCTATTGACTGTCTCAAGGTTATTTTTTGCTTGCTTTAAGCCAGAAAGGACTCTCTGAGAATTTTTTAACTGGGCCATAAATGATATTGCACATTGTTACAGTAAAGTTGGAGATATCAACTTTTTTTTTTTATGGTTCAAAAGTTTTATTTTTTTTAAAACAAACATTTCATCA